ACGATTTATTACTAATATATACCTCTAAACTATCTATAAGATTTGTTCGTATAGTTTATAGCGAGACTCGGATAATACCTTATATAGCAAAGATACTATTATAGACTACCTTCGCTATATTAGCTTTAGTATATTCCCGGGAAAGCGCCCTTATTTACCCTCCTTTTAGTATATTCTAATAGAGACGTATATAGACTATATATCGGTAAGGCTATAACGTAAGACTAGGCGCGTAAGATCTTATCCTTAGCTATAGTTTCGCCTAAAACCTATTTAAATCGTATAAAATTTGCGATTATATAATACTTCTTATATTTAAGGTACGTCTCTAGCTCGTCGCCTCTATTCGAAGTAATAGGATATAGAAAGCATTTGTATTCCGAACTAGTAATAGAGTTAATAGACTATTTATCTCTTGCCTTCTAAGTAAGTCGAGAGCTATTTATAGCGTCGACTTTAATAGTAGCTATATCTATTATCGGTAAAGCTATTCTTATTCGGTATTCGTATATACGCCCTTTCTATAGCAGAAGAACTTATTTAATATTAGACCTAGGAATAAGTATTGCTACTACTTATTTAAACGTTCTAGTATAACTATAAACGGCTAAGCTAAGGCTTATACTATTACGTCTATACGAATATTACCGACTAGTAATATTCGTATAGTCTACGTACCGCTCTATTACTATCTACTATAGTAGTAATATATATTAAGTATAACGATAGAGTAGCTTAGTATATACTCTTATAAGTATAAAAGCTAGTTTCGAGTTACCGATATTCTACGTAAGCTCTTTAGACCTACCCGGATTAGCTACTAGGAGGTATATTTAGATAATCCTTCCTTCGCTTACTCTTATAAGTAATATACTTCTCTATAGAACCTACTATAGTCGTACTAATCTACGACTCCTACCTAGAGGCTAGGAACTTCCTTAGTACGAGTTAGCTAACGATACTTATCTAGTTAACGGCCGATAACTCTATCGAGATTCGCCTTATAGTTACTCTATTACCTTTCTCTAAAGTACTACGGCAATAGATCTAGAAGTACGAGATCGAAGCCTTAGCTTTAACGTCTCGGAATAACCTAGAATCGAGCGACTTCGTATCGAACGTATAGAAGGAAGCCTAAAATATAGCTAACTATCTCTATTAGCCTATATATTAGAGCTTCGAAGACTAGCCGATCGCGATATATAATACTACTATAGCGACGGAATAAACGGAGTATCTTACTACGTTTAGAAAGGCGCTAAATACTAGCTTATAGATATACTCGCTATCTTAATACTAGGAGGTTAATACCGTATAGGCCTCTCCTTCTATAACTAGCTCTATAATAGTAAGACTTGCTCTAGATAACGGAGACTAGGAGAAACCTACTAAAAGACTACGACCCGGCTCTAGTAAAGAGGAATTAAGTCGCAATACTAAGAATATATATATCCTAATTCTAGATAGCGCGACTAGGCTAAATAGTAGAGAATAGACTAACTAGTAGTCCCTCTTATATTTAGCTCTATTTAATTATAAATCGGTTAAGGATCTATAGGAGCTAGTAGAAGAGTTAGACGTCTAGTCGTAAAAAGTAGAAACATAATCGTTCCTTATAGATCTCCTATATAGCGCCGCGCTAAAAGTAGCCTTATAGAACTATAGAAGTAGCTCTAGAAGTAGATATAAGAAGAGTAGAGGCGAGTATTAAAGGAGGTATAAGCTAAGGAAATAGTTTAAAGTCTTAGTTATAGTCGTAAACTAGCTATCGATCGTCGAAGGCTCTAGAGTACTTAATATCTTAGAGGCACTTTCTCTCGGTACGAAGAATATATATCGCTTCTATCGTAGATAGTTTTACTCCTAGAATAGTCTACGCGTTAATACGGCAATAGAGAAGCTTATTTCTTATTTTCTCGAAAGGAATAGAGAATTAGACGATTAGCGTAATATTTCGTAGTAGTATCGGATTAACTCTATAGTAGAGCTATCTAGAATAATCGGATCTAAGTAGATATTAAGAAGAAATTACTTAACTTCTAAGCTAATCTAGAGTAGTATATAGGAGATCTATAGCTAAATAGGCCTAAATTAAGAGCATTTAATATACGAGCCGCCGTACCTATCGAGTAGTAATAAAGCTTATAACGATATTTAATAAAAGGACTCGACGTAGTACGGTATAGTTCCTTATATATAGGACGATAGTTCTGCCTATATATTCGAAGCCTTACTAATATCGAACTATAATAACGCTTAAGGAATATTATTATAGCTACCGCTTACGAACTATACGAGTACGGGTATCGACGGCTTTACTATAAGCTTTTAGGACGACTCGTAGGATCTATATATAAGTAGTCCTACGATAGGTTTCCCTAATATATCGTACGATATATTCGAAGCTATTCTAAGTAGAACATAACTACTAATATCGTTCTACCTTTACTACTACTAGGCTTCCCGACGTAGTCGCTACGCTATAGTATACTATCGCCCGGGTTTAGCGTCTCTTCTTACTAGCTTAATACTATACTTAGGTCGTCCGCCTATATAAAGGAGTACTAGCCGCTTTCGCTGTCGAGCCGAGTTAACGCAATAGTAAAGTATATCGAGCCTGTCGCGCCGGTTATACGAGCCGAGTCAATTTTGCGTAGCTTTGCAACTTTAACGCTAACGGGCTTAATCCTGTCCGCGGGAGGATATAGTCGTTTAGCAGCGGCTTGCAGGCTCTATTGATACTAATCAGCATAGGCATCCCTCTTAGTGACATCTTATCCACTTGCTACCTCTTATGCACATTTTACGATCTGTCGGCAAGTTTCGGTAGGGCGGTACTCCAGTAGTCCAGGCGACTCCGTCTCGATTCGTGCGTTAGCGACCTCGCGGCCGGCAAGTTCACAGAGGTTTCGAGGTGCCGCATCCCGCACTATCACGAATCCTGTGTGCTGTGCCATTTACGGCGGCGTTAGATATAGAGGAATCGCGAGCTGGTTGCCGAAAGATCCCTGAGCTTAGCCGAAGCGGGCCGTTAGTCTAGTCCAGAGCTTAAGTTAACTAGGGCGAACGCCGTGCAACATCACTTCCAATCTCTGCTATCGCTCTCGCATTGCATGCTCATTAAGCTGAGGCATCGGGGCTTGCCCTTGACGAGGCATTCATGTATCAAGTCGCTTCCTTTCAAAATACTTACAAGATCATCAGTTCGATGGCAACGTCGTTCATGCTGGCTGCACACAAGAGCGTCTGGTCAGCAAGACTACGCCATTGGGAGCACACGGGCTGAACAGGAATGCTTGAGACTCAGCCTGCAGACAGCCACCAATATCTGTGGAGCCATCAGATAAACAAAATCCTAGACTAGGAAACCAGCGTACGAGCCTTGGTGGAGCGGCATCACCAGTACAGCGCGACAGGGCTGGCAAACGGATTGGAGAAGCAGGGTGATTTCTAGCTTTAGATCTTTGTATAGCAAAATGTTCGAAAATCTTGCAGGCTCTATTCAATTATCTTGCTATATCCGGCTGGCCCTCCTGGTCTAGTAATTTTATTGCGGTGCAGTGGGTCCCGGTGATAGAGGCGCGTTGGTACATCCATACCGTTATGCTTCAAGCCATACCGTCACGAAACGCACGGTACGTCTAGACATGCATGTACACAGGAAGAATTCGTACGGTAGAATCTCTCAGTCCAATCCAGGGGGAGCCGGAGGATGAATCGAATTCGCGGAAGACCAATGCACCCCACCCCACCTTGACAGATCAGATGGATGTAGATTTGAGCTATATATATATTGGAGTCTTTACCTGCTCCTCGAGATATTACCTCGACCAAGCAGCAGTCTGCGTTTTTCCGACAACGATACATCAGCTATCACTTCGGCTCCAAACATATTCATTCCGTTGACGACCAAGTATGGCAAAGACACATCGTTACCGGACACACGTGACACTGATGCGCTTCAACAGTCTTACAGCGAAATGTGCGGCGTCGAGACTTTCCAATTCATTGATTGCGGGCACACGATGCAGGGCAGAATCATTCATTGCCAATATTACGGGACGGTGCACACCGAAAAATGTATCGACCTCAACAGAACCGTCAGATGCCACGGCAAATGCGAGCCGTGCAAGCGAGCTGAAACTGCTACGAAGGGATCGAAGTAGCAGCATGATGGGGGCATTTTCGATGGTTGCAGAGCCACCAAGCGTTTGTGAGCATTGTTACTTCTTGGGGCTCGGGGATCATATGCTCACCTAGGAGGCATTCGGTGGATACTGGCGGTTTCGATTCGGCACAATCAATGCTACTGATCGTGGGCAGTTTTATGTTCATCAGACAAAGATTTAATTGTTCTTAGCCATCCATTGTCGTTCGCTACTATGTAGCCATCATTCGCTATCGATACGTGTTCTGCGTCGCGTGTTCCTGCGGAGAATCGTACTTCTCTTGTTCTTCTTTATTTTTCTTCTTCTCTTACGACTAGGACTCAAATGGGACAGTTTCACATGGCGGGTATCATGCGGCGTGGACCGGGATACAATTCAGCAAAGAGGGTGCAACAAGAAAGCTCAAAGCAGGATGCAATCAGAATAACGTAGCAGGAAATATTACACGCGATGATCAATTTACCCAAGGTCCACCCTGATTGCTCGCCGAGCGTTCTCAAGACTATCCGTGCTCTCATGATGGTTGGCCACCTTTCTCGAAAGGGACTTTTCGATGTTACTGCGGCCTTCGTTTCGAAAGTGAATTGGTATCTCGACAACTGCCTGCATGATTATAAGCTGCGCTTGTAACCTCGACTGGTTCAGATCACGACATACCACGTTTCTCTTTCCTGGTCTGGAGACCTGTCACGTTTGGTGGACAGATCCGGTGTGTATCAGCGTAAACTTGGCCTGCTTAGCGATCAGCATATCGTTTGGCGCGGGGAGTGGAGTCATTTACACCAAGATGCTACGCGGTATTGGCGATGCTTGCACGAGTACGTGACTTCAATGTGTGCACACATGATTAGTGCTGCCTGATACAAGGCAGGGAGAGAAAGGAAGTGCAAATTCGTGCTTCATATAGTGCGGACCTAAGAGCGCGCTGTGTGTAATGAGAGATCGCTGGTCATGCTTCTGCTCGCGCTGGCGCACCTCCCGAACGTTATCCTTGGACGGCTTCTTCCTCCATATGCTGATCGGCACTTGTGTACTTTCGTGAAAGATATGGCGCAGGCCACCTTCCGTTCAATTGTCCTCTTTGTATCGGTGACCACATTTTCTACAGGAGTAGAATATTGTAGTCCCTTCATCTGCACTACGCAGCTGGAGTTCTGTGAAATACATCTCCGGCGCAGAGCACTTCTCGCATTGCTGCTCGATCCGCTGCCCTTTCTTCAATTGTTCTTCCGACACCTCTTGAATAGCGCCATGCAGCCTTGTCCGAAGCGCGGACGGGAAAGTAGTCGCTCGCGATGTCTCGGTCTTGCGATGCGGCCAGTTGTCTACAGACAGTCAGCTGTTTGCCAATTGACCAGACGGCGACTTACGTACTCTGATTCGTACTGCCGCATACAGCGCACGAGATTTCCAAGCGCGACGAGGCTACTCTCTCGAGCAGGTTACCGCAGGTGATGCAGAAGCAGAGGCCTCCGACTAACGCCATGTGACATGGTGTTGAATAGAGAAGCGGCATTCTCCAGTGCACATATATTTGCTGTTAGAGTCACGTGGAGCTTTGATTATGTAATCATTTCATCATGTCCCAGAGATCTTCTCTCTTGCACCACTGTGGCATTTGTGAAAAACACGAACATAGCGAGAATCTCACTTTTCGGAATTCAGTCGTAATAACGTGCAACATATCCATCCAAGAAGGCACTGCATCGCTGCGTAGTCAGACGCGTCGCCCACCGCGCCTGCTGCGATGGCGGAGCCATGGCCGGAGGGGGTGATGTGGCCTACCGAATACCGAGAGCATGCCCTTCAACTTATGAAGTACCTGCTGGAGACCCGCAGCTGTATCGACCGCACTGGAAGCCGGACCGTGCCAACGGAGGTCGCGAAGATGATAATCCAAGGAGCGACGACGTTCGTTGCAAAAGCACAGAACATCCCCGACATGACCGCTATCTAAGGCGCGCTGCGCGAGATGCGTAGAGACGCGAAGGCAATGAAAGAGGAGACGTCGCAGAGACTAGAAGCACTCAAGAAAGAGCTACGAGGTACAAACGCACAAATAGAGAGGATCGCCGCGGTCGGCCAGGAGACTAAGGGAGCAGCAAAAGAGGCAATAGAAGTAGGCAAGGTAGGAGTCGCAATCATATAGGACGTCAAAAACAACAACCTATAGATTCAAAAGAATGCGCCAATAAGCTATGCAGCAGCAGTAGCGAGCGGTACACTAGCCAGCAGTACGCACAACCCTTATCATACGCAGACCGCATCCACCTAGAGCTAGCGTAAAATCATCGTAAATATTAGAAACCTAGTAACCATTGAACGCTTGCGCGCAATAAACCCGCGGCATCTCAAATCCCACATTAACCGCGCCCTTAAACAGAGCGCGAACGAACAAATAGCAGAGATCAACATTATGTCCGCTAACTAGCTCAAGAGTAGAGACCTTGTCGTTAGGACGGCTAGCATCAGCGAGACACAGACACTACAACAACACAGCGAGGAATAGGCTCGTCGCGTCGGGGAGGGAGCCTCTGTCCGCGTCCCGACATACGGCGTTATTGTTCATAGCATCCGCACGCACTCTATCGACATAGACAAATTCACGGAGAATCGAGATGAGATCCTGCACGAGAACCGGCCGTTCATCCCTCGAGCGGAAATCAAATACATAGGATAGCTTACGCGAAGCGGCGCGAAGAAGTCGACGACCTCTGTCATTATCGAGTTCGCGCGACCTGAAGACGCCAACAAAATTATTAGCGAGGGCCTCGTATAGCACGGCGAGCTTTGCTAGTGCGAGAGGTACGATCGACAGTGTCGGGTTAAGTAGTGCTTCAACTGTCAGAAATACGGCTACATAGGAACCCAGTGCAAGACAACAATAAAATGTAGCTACTATGCCCAGGAGCACCAATCCCGGGACTATCTATCGAAGAGGGAGCGCGACGGACCTAGGAAGTGCGCGGCGTGCTACGGAGAGCACGAGGCATGGAGCCAACAGTGTCTAACACGACAAGGAGAGATAGCTCGCGCCAAGGCAGCCTATGCTACAAGAGCGCCATTCTACCCAGTCTCGGCAACCGCGATGTCTGGAACTCTACCTAGCAGTAATGGAACACTACTACGTCGGAAACGTTCGGCACGAGGCCTCGGCCTACGAGGAGAGGAGAGACCGCAGGCAGAGCTCGGGTCCATAGGATCTAGACAGAAACGAGCCAATACTGGCAGCGGCCCCGGCTCGTTAGACAAGGAGAACGAACCTCCGAGTGGATCTGGCAGTCAGAGGCCGCAGCGGACGTACCATCCTACTAGGAAAGCGCTAGAGTCTCTGCACGTAAACGGGGTGGGACGCAATAGTAGCCAGCAAATAGACATCGATATAGAGAGCGACTTATGAGGAGGAACACCACATTTAGCATATTACAGTACAACGTCCGGAAGTCACGGGACACGGTCATAGCCACGCTACTGCGCGATACCAAAATCGGCGACTTTGATGTCCTCGCCATATAAGAACCGTGGAACAACCCGTTTACAAACACAACACACCACCCGGCGAAAGACATCTTCCATCTCTGCTATGCTTCCAACGACACGGAGGGAAGGCCGACACGAGTATGCTTCTTCGTCCACAAGGGACTCGATTATGCCCAGTGGCGGTTTGATCGGCATAGCAAAGACATCTGCTCGCTCACGTTCCAGTTTGGAGACGATGAAACACCAAGGAGCCTCGAAATATTCAATGTCTATAACCCGCCCCGAAGCACAGAACAACGGACGAGCGTTCTGCCTTTCCTAAGGCGACTGCTCGAAAGATCTACCGCCAACCAACACATAGTGGTGGGGGACTTCAACCTCCACTATCCTCTTTGGGGAGGGGAGCACATCGTACGGGCAGACGCTAAAGCTGTAGAACTAATTGAAATCATAGAACAAAATACACTGCAGAACACATTCCTATCGGGAACTATTACTTATAAGGAAGGCAGCTCTCGAACCACAATCGACCTATGTCTCGCCACTATAGGCCTTATAGACAGGGTGGTGCGCAGTTAGGTGGACCACGAACTGGATCACGATTCAGACTATCTTCCGATCGCTACGACTATCGACCTACAGCTCCCGCGTCGTACAGAAACAGCACGAAGGAACTGGAAGAGGCTCGACGAGAAGCAATACCGCGAGGGACTCGAGAAGACGCTCCCTCCGCTATAACGCCCGAGAACAAAGGCAGCTCTAGATAAATATATCGAGCAAATAACCACAACGATTAACGAGGCTGTCGACTGGGCTCTACCCAAGACGATACCGTCGAGCAGAATGAGGCAAGGATGGAATGAGCAGTGCTCCAAGGTCCTCGCAGAGGCGAAGCGACTGAAACGGAGACTCGGTCGAGAGCATACGGATAACGACTGGGAAGCATACCGAACCGCACGAAATATAAAGACCAGAGTCATTCGAAAGGCATTGAGATAGGCTCATCGTGACCGAGTCGAAGAAGCATTACAGTCGCCTCAAGCGCTGTAGAGACTCGCAAAGTGGGCGAGAAATCGCCACAGCCAGCTGCTAAGCATTACTCCTGCGATCGTAGACCCAGATATAGGGACAGAAGTCGCAGAGGCTAGCGGGAAAGCAGCACTCTTCAGAGATACCTTCTTCCCTAAGCCTCCCTATGCAGATCTTAACGATATTGCGTCGGCGCAGTACCCGGAGCCAATCCCGCTACCCAGGATCACAGAAAAGGAAGTCATCGAGGCGATTACATCTAGCAAGGCATTCAAAGCACCTGGACCCGACCAGATTACGAACAAAGCGCTGCAAGTAGGCAAATTAACGCTCGCAAGCCACCTAACCAATGTCTTTAACAGCAGTATCGACCTCGCATACTGCACCGCGCACTTCCGCCGATCTACGACGGTGGTGTTACGGAAGCCAGGCAAGGACAATTATACTACGCCAAAGGCATACCGACCTATCGCCCTCTTAAATACTATCGGAAAGACGATGGATGCTATCCTGGCAAGGAGGCTAAGCTATATTGCCGAGACGCATAATCTCCTCCCTCGCGCACATATCGGCGGTCGAAGACAGAAATCGACAGAACATGCCCTCTATAATATAATAGACAGGATATATTAAGCGTAGAACACAGGTTAGGGACAAGTCGCGAGCCTGCTGCTACTCGACGTCTTAGGAGCGTTCGACAATGTTTCGCACGAGCGGCTATTACACGACCTAAGGGCGCGCCGGGTGGACGAGAGACTAGTCCGATAGATAGCGAGTTTCCTAAGCAATCGATCGACAAGCGTTACAGTGGACGGCTTCTAATCCCCGCTATATACCGTATCTATAGGCATCCCGTAAGGATCCCCTTTGTCGCCCATCCTGTATATCTACTATAACTCTAGCCTTATCCAGCTAAGTAATACAGATAGCGACCCGGAGAGCACTATAGCTGTTACGGGATATATCGACGATGCCGCACTTCTCGCTTGGGGTGACTCTACAGAAAACACGTGCTCCTAGCTCGAGGACATGCTAGAAAAGGCCCAGCACTAGGCGCGCACCCATGCATCGAAGTTCGCTCCCGAGAAATTCCAGCTCACCTATTTCACGCGCTCCCGCACACGGTTCGACCTCGAGGAAGGCATCGAGACTGCTTGGTGCAATATCGCACCGAAGGCAACGTGCAAGTATCTCGGCGTTACTATGGACACCAAGCTACACTGGAAGCTACATATCGAAGCGATGCAGCGGAAAGTCTCTAGCACTATCGGCGTCCTCTAGCACTATCGGCGTCCTCTACTCGCTCGGGAGCTCCACCTAGGGGGTTAAGACGCTCGAGATGCGGAAACTCTACCGAGGAGCGGCTATCCTACAAATGATGTACGCGTGCTCAGTCTGGTCGCAGGGCCGGACTAGCGGCTGCGGATATACGAAACAGACGCTATAGACACTCTAGGCGCTTCAGGCTAGAGCTGCGAGAACAATATATAGCGCTTACCGGGCGACATTAGCGGCTACGCTAAACATCGAGACCTTCCTCCTCCTAGTCGAGCAACAAATCGAAAAGCATAATGCCGACGCCGTAGTGCGAATGCTTGCGAGCAAGGACCCGAGTATAGTGCAGACACGTGCGATTAGTATATAGCGAAATAGATATATTAGTCCTTTCGAAAGGATACGACGCTCCGTCGCAGGCTACGCAGCGATCGACCTAGGTATATTAGAGTATATACCCCCCCTTCGTCGCCGCGCCTTGGCGAACAGGCCCGGCTATCTATATCGACAACGTGGAAGAAGCACGCAATAGGCATAATATCGAGAGCGAAAAGGCAGAGAACATCTGTATTTATACCGATAGTAGCGGGATTGGAGGCTATATAGGAGCGGCAGCCGTGTGCCTAACTATAGACAGGATAGAGAGGACGTATATAGGGATAGACATAACGTCGACCGTATACGCTACAGAGCTGCAAGGCATTAACCTCGTATTATAGATCGCCTAAAATACCTTAGAAGACCCCTCTAGCCCGAGGCAGATCGCTATCTAGACTAATAACCAAGTAGCTATACGCTCGCTCGTCCGCGCCGAAGGACGTACCGGAGCATATATCCTAGAGCAAATCGCCTGTCGAACAGATATGCTATAGGATAAAGGTTATACCGTTATAGTCTAGTAGATCCCCTCCTACGAGGGTATTAAAGGAAATGAGGCCGCTAATATTATAGCTAAACAAGCTATAGGCTAGAGAGAAGGGCAAGATAGCAGCGAGGTAGCCGATAGAGCCGCCTAGCCCGAGGAACTCTATACCGTCCTATCTACGCTAAAGCGAAAAAATCGAGAAGAAGCTAAGAAGAAGTAGTAGGCTATATAGCGTACGGGAACGATAGGGAGGTCCTCGTTTAGGTATACTCTAACTCCGAGCAAGAAAATCCTCTAACTCTATAGTAGCTTATCTAAGCGGGAAAGCGCGCTACTTATTTAGCTTCGTACCGAGAAAATCGGGCTCTAGGACTTCCTCTTTAACCGTAACGTCCCTAGCGTCTAGGACTCTATATACTACTACCGCGAAGGACGACAAACTATCCGATACGTAGTTCTAACGTATCGCCGACTACGCGACCTACGTAAGGAGTACCTCGGCGGACTTCCTAGCTATACTAACCTCTAGAGTATCCTAAATAGCTATAAGCTAGCTATAAAGACTATCTATTTTATAGAATAGGCGTAGATCCTAGAGTAGAATAGGATTAGAGAGGAATAGACGACGTCGAGTACTAGGTAGAGATAGTAGGTACGCGGATAGCGAAAGATAAGGCGTAGCCTA